GTACAAAATCTACCTATTGATTTTATTGTTAATTTGGTCTCGTTCTGAACATGCATGAAATATTTGCCACTGGATATGAAGCAACCATCAATCAATCAACATAATCTTTTGAAATAGTAAATAATATTCGAACTGTTTATCATTGTTATCCGCGTGTAAATGAAAATTGATAAGTATAGGCATACACACTTGGTTTCATTTCATATAAAAATTTTCATTGTATCTCATATTTTGTAAATAGTATATGTATCTTGTATTGCTTTATCTTGTATCTTAGTATTGCCTTTTACACACGCCTATCCTTTTCGTTAACTAATTCTTCTAAATAAGATCAACACCAGCGAACTTTTATACGTGTATGTGTTCCACTCACCAGAAGTATTGTATAGAAACTTTGTTATACACAATGACATAATATTTGCTTCTGTTACACATATTTTATACGCTTTATTTCGTTAGGAACAGATACTGTTATAATTATACCCCACGCAACGAGTTGCGGAGGGTATAATGTTTTTGACCCGTCCGTCCGTCAGTCCGTCCGTCCGTCTCTCCTGTTTCTTGTCATCGCAACTCCTCTCAAATGGTATAATTTTTCATTTAAATGGTATATTTTTTTCATTTAAATGCAATATTTTTTATTCAAATGGTATAATTTGTCGTTCAAATGCAATATTTTTTATTCAATTGGTATAACTTGTCATTTTAATGCAATATTTTCTATTCAATTGGTATAGTAGTTTTTTTATTTATATGCAATAATTGCATTATGGGAAATTCTTTGACGTCACAAGGTCAAATTTGCAACAACGTTTGTGATTGGTGGGTAATTGTTTGGATTTCTTTCCTTTCTTTCTAAACATGAGTGACCAAGAATTAAAAAAACGCGTCGGAATATCACCCCTCTAACTAAATCTGGCGTTCGTGCGAGTTCGTGCACGCCTCCAATGAAAACCAGATAAGTCCAGATACATGTAATCATGACGTTCTCTGATGCTATATCATTTTTTTACTTTTCTTGATCCTCAGAGACATTGCAGGAAGGCAAACATAAAAAAGAATAAAAAGCCTTCCAGGACGTTATAATTTTTTGGACTAAGTCCCCTCTTTTTTGCTACAAGTAGAAAAAAAATCACCTAATTACGACAGCAGAACCAGCTCACAGAGACCCACAAGAAGAGACCTGAGCTGTGATACTCCGGAACTAATTCTTTAATAAAGACAATTCGGGATAAATTGGAACCAGTTACTAACCCATGTTACAACAATAGTCCTATGACATAGGACGTACACTGTATATGAAGGCGTGAACTTCGTATTTTGGACTATCTATAATATGTGCTCTCACGTCTTATACCGCATATCATTTTACATTTAGGATTCGTTGCTGAGCTTTTTTTACTGTTCCCATCTCCGAATCCCTTAAATAGAATTTTTTTTCAAGCCCCACAGTAGTTCAATAACTACTATATGTCTTTGCATAAATAAGTATGCAGGGCATATTTCAAAACATATTTTTTCTTCAGGACTTTTAATTGATTTACTTTTCAATACTGCATTGGGAAAAGGGGGGGGGAGAGGGGGGGGGGGGGGGGGGGGGGTATACAAGTAACTTTATTTTGTGACACAGTATATAATATAATTAGATACAAATCTCTAATGATTTGTATCCAACAAATTGTAGGATTGTACGTTTAGCTATTATCTAGACCCGTGCAAAATGTATATAATAAGATACATTTAACAGGGGCGGATCCAGAACCTCGGTGTCTAGGGGGGAGGGGGTTCAGATTAAGATATTTGTATAGAGATGTATATATGCGAGTATTGCCAGTAATGGTTATGGTGTGTGTGTGTGTGTGAGGGAAGGGGAAGGGGGTTCAGATCAAATACCGTTTCTATAATTCTAAATCTTTTAGTTTTTACCATTTCACTCTTTTCTTTATCCTTTGATCTCTATTATATTTGTCCTAAACATGCGTGAAATATTTGCCACTGAACATAAGGCAACCAAAAAAACAATCAACGTATTCTTTATATTTCATCATTTCTTTATTATGTTATCTATAGGTTTGGTCCCGCCCCTTATCTATTTTTGCACATTATTCTCTCTATGTAAACCCAATTCCTGTCCTGATAAATGGTGACTCATGCATAGCATCATATGTGGTTATTAAAACAAGAAACATATTCATATTATAATAATTTACTGTATGCTTGGACTGATAGATAGATGTCATTAGTCCCAGATCATGTAATAAAGTAGGTCTTATAAAAATACTATAGCATTGTAATGATGATAATATATATGTATTATAATATATATTTAACAATGCCAATTTTTGGGAAAAAAGGGTAGGGACAAGGCGTTTTTAAAACATATTAATGGGGCGCGTTTTTTTGTTCTTCTGTAGTGAGCCAGAAGAAGTCCATTTCTTTTTTTTTTTTTTTTTTTGCATTGGGAAGATCTTCTGGCTCTCTTCCACCTATTCTTTTTTGATAGGTTGTTTAGACGGCAGAGGCACATAACAAACATATGGCGTCGTTTAGTCTAAATGACTAATACATTTATGAATGCAGATATATTAGAATGTGAGCTGTGTTATAAACGTTTTTATGGTATGACAGCCTTAGTAGGACATCCCTGTAGGACGATAAGCTGGATAAATATAAGAACTACACCGTCGGACAATAACAGTTAAGGGACGATTATTTGATATTCTAGGGAAGGAATTTTGATTGATTGGTGTTTAACGCTACTTTGAACACTATTGGGCTATTCCGTGGTGGTCAATTTAAATTTATAGATGAAGGATGGGGAAGGGAAGAGAGGGTATTATTATTCATTTTAATCTGTCGCTAATCATGCATATTTTTCAGCTCTTACCAGGCAACCATATTCATATATGAAATCCTTCTGTCCCCCACCCCAACAAATAGATAAATATCAAATGGTTTTCCACTTATTTAACACAATTTTAAATTGATTAATTGTTTGTTGCTAATTTTTAACGCCCAGTGACAAATATTTCATGCTTGTTCAGGAAAACACGAGTTTAGAAGTCAGGTATATAATATAAAAACGAAGAGATGGGATGGGATATGATTGCTAATAAGGCAACTATCCACCAGAGTTCAAATATGAAGTGGGTGTAAGCAATTATAGACAATCGTAAGGCCTTCAACAATGACAAAAACCTGATACTGTAAAGTCGTCTATAAAAGGCCCGATATGAAAAGTGTGAACAATTCAAACGAAAAAACTAATGGCCTAATTATACATAACAAAACAATTTACAAAATATCAAATACGAGTCGAGACATAAACCAACGACAACCACTAAATTACAGGCTCCTGACCTGGGACAGGCAAATAAAGAATATGGTAGGATTGATATAAAAACGAAGATGTGGTATGATTGCAAATGAAACAACTCTCCACAAGAGACCATATTACACAGAAATCAACAGCTTTAAGTCACCGTACGGCCTTCGACAATAAGCAAAGCCTACACCGCATAGTCAGCTATAAAAAGCCCCGAAATCACAAATGTAAAACAATTATAACGAGAAAACTAACGGCCGAATTAATGTACAAAAAATGAACGAAACACAAATATGTATGACAGAGCAACAAACGGCAACTACTGAATTACAGGCTCCTGACTTGGGTCAAGCACATACATACAGACTGTGGCAGGGTTAAACATGTTAGCGGGATCCTAATCCTCCCCATAACCTGGGACAGTGGTGTAACAGTACAATAAAAGAACAAACTGCACTAATCAGTTGCAATTAGTCAAAAGATCGGTACGAGATACACAAAAAAACTAACATTAAGACAATAGACACAAAGCACCGACATTAGAGTATTTTCAATTATTAGTACTCAGTGGAAGTTTGCCCAAAGCTAATAACAACTAGTACTGAAATAAATCTTGTTCTCCCAGACTGAAGTATCAATGAGTACACAACGAGCGGCAAAGAATTTATTAAAAAAGAAAACAGTCTGAGAAACGTCTGGTTTACGTTGTATATAGATATAAGAAGATCTGGTATGAGTGCCAATGAGACAACTTTCCATCCAAGTCATAATTTGTAAACCATATTATAGGTCAAAGTACGGTTTTCAACACGGAGCCTTGGCTCACACCGAACAGCAAGCTATAAAGGGCCCCCCAAAAATGACTAGTGTTAAACCATTCAAACGGGAAAACCAACGGTGCCGTCTAATCTATTTAAAAAAAAAACGATATACTTGCATAAAGATCCATATACAATGAAAGTTTTTGAAAAGTTGTGGTCCGAACGTTTTGACCATCGACATTTTGCAATAGAAATAATAGTTAGGACCAGAAGATTTTAACAGCCAGTGCAGGACTCGCACGAACGCCAGATTTAGTTTGAGGGACGCGTTTTTAATTCTTGGTCACTTATGTTTAGAAAGAAAGGGGAGAAATCCAAACAATTACCGACCAATCACAAACGTTGTTGCAAATTTGACCTTATGACGTCAAAGAATTTCCCATAATGCAATTATTGCATATAAAAAAAAAAAATACTATACCAATTGAATAAAAAATATTGCATTAAAATGACAAGTTATACCAATTGAATAAAAAATATTGCATTTGAATGACAAATTATACAATTTGAATAAAAAATATTGCATTTAAATGAAAAAAATATACCATTTAAATGAAAAAATATACCATTCGAATAAAAAAATATTGCATTTAAATGAAGAAATATATCAATTAAATAAAAAATATTGCATTTAAATGAAAAATATCAATTGTTTGCAAACAATAACATGCCATAGTCCTCTCCATTTAACATTTATAGCTGAATATTCTGATGGGTTACAATGTAAACAGCGATGATTATCGTCAAATGTCAACGATGTGCATTACCAGTAATTTAGTTTTACACACCATTCTGTTATTAAAGGAAATTCATGAACTGAATGTAATCAAAATTGAACGGATGACATACTTTTGAAAATGATTTATCCATTGTGTGGTTAAAAGAAATGGAGAAGCCTGTTTAATTATTCAGGTGGCGCGCTTTTGATCACATGGCAAGAAAAGTTCTAGTTGAACATTTCCAACTGTGAAGGTAATAATCCTTTTTATTTCTTTTTTTAACACAAACAACTAATATTGCATTATATTTTTAGCAAAATAGTCCACTTCAGTTTCTAATATTAGAGTAGTTAAATTTATAAAATACTGATTGATTGTTTAACGCCTCTTTCTGCACTCAGTCAGAAAATGATATTTACTAATGAATGTGATGCTTTGTTTTGTTATTTATTTTGGGATGTAAAAGCGTTGACCAAAGCATATATGAAATGAAGTGCGGAAGTTCCAACTTGTTTTCGCTATTAAATTTCAAATAAAGCATTTAATTCATATTTACATAATATTCGTATAGTGTAGTAAATTTAAATATAAAGCTTCGCAGAGCTTTTCTGTTGTTTTTGTAAGGAACGAGTACAAATACAGACAGAAGCGGGATACCAAAAGACTATCATTACATGGCATATTCCATGATATCGGATGTATTATCGACCCACGCGGTTCAATATCAGCCCAAGAGCCGAAGGAGACAAATAACAGTTTAACAATTGATCGTTTTAAGTGGTTTTCAAATAGATGTTCAAAAAGTGAAAAGTTTACGAACGACGGACGCCAAATATAATGCATCCGATTTGAAATATTTCTATCATATGCTTCAACGAAGAAAAAAAACCAACGGTATAATATGTTTCTACATGTATATTGACGATAAATAAAGATTGAACAAAACATAATGAACACTACTTGGAGAGGCAACATTTTTAAAGCAAGTTTTCAAATTATACTGGAAACTTTGAAAAATGCATTTATTGTATCATTTTTTTTATTGCATTTTGTATAGATTATTACATGGCATTTTCCATATCAGACCCTTTATCGGCCCAAGGTCATGATATCAGCCCAAGAGCCGCAGGCAGAAAACAGAAAAAACCCAACCCATTACAGTAATTGTTTAACATGTTTAAACAGAGGAGCGGACATCCTAGGATATTACACATTGCAAATACATTCAGATAAGCGTTTATGTTTACCTGTTAATTTGTTACAGAAGATGGATGTACTGTTGCATTGGATTGTTATATATTTATTCGTAAATATCAAATCAAGTGTTATCTCAGAATCACGTGAGTATTGACTGTCTTTTACTAGTTACGTTTTTGTAATAGCTCGAGTTCTAATAAAAAAAATCTATATAAACATAAAAAAGATGTTGTGTGATTGCCAATGAGACAACTCTCTATGTGCTTTATACATGTTATATAAAGTCCCGATATTGGATATGAGAAATCAACGTAGGCTTTCGGAATGATCAATATTTATCACATATAACATGTTCATGTATCTAAGGATGTACTTAGGTTTTGGAATTTGTGTCAAATGTTTGGACTCGTTGGTATTTTTCCATACAATACAATGTAAAATATTTTGCCCCATAACACCCATTTATCTTTATATATAAGACTTAATAGCTCATAAAGGTTCTTTTGCCAAAATTTGAGCAGAGTTTTGATTTTTTTCTTTTTATTTGAAATCCAAATAATACCAATGCAAATATAAGGTAAAAGTCCGAGTCAGCTTTTTCCTGCCAATATTTCAAAATCATATATCTCGAAAAGGAGCTCCATGACCTATCAATATTTTTTGCTTATTTTGTTCCTTAACTAATGCTCTTCTGACTTATAGTATCAATTTTAAATTCTTGTTTTTTTTAATTTCACAAACCCTCAAATAAGTACATCCTTAACATGTTTAATATATTTAACTGGAAATAAATACATATAGAATAGTAATATAACAAAGCTGATTTATTTATACAACTTGTATATCTTTTTTTTTTAGAAAGCACATACATTTATTGAACAAAATCCGGAATATAATTTGCATTGTACAACCCAGGGAAGCCTATTCACAATGAGCACTGTGTAACAATTCCATTGCCCAGGTTTAAGCGGTGGACTCTCTTATAAAATAAATATTTTCTGTATTAAGTATATCATTTTCATTGTTATCCATGATACTGAAACATAAACAACCAAACAGTGATATTTCAAATTAATTATTGCAAAAACCGCTACAATCTTATACACCTAATCTCTACCTATAGTTGACCTTAACATAATTATGTGTTTTGTTCTTGATTGTTTATACTGCATGGTGTGAAGGTCTAGATAGATGTCCTTATTTTTCTTTCATTATAAATAACGGATTTTCTATAAAAGTCAAATGAAAGGGAGTGTATTATTATTTTTATTTCTGTAATTATATTCTTTCTATATTCTGCCGTTTGTATTTCTGTGATCAGTATCAAATTAGCTACTTCTTTAAATGTCAATTCATTTCTTTTCTTCTTGTCATTGATGATTTTGTGGAAGGAACATATGCACTTCGAAGTGATGGAATTTCGACTTGTTCATGCATAAAAGATTTGCCACTGGACGTTAAGCAACTAACAATCAATCAAGCAGTCGTGATTATATGGCATGTGTTCGTCCTTTCAGTCGTGGTCAATCAACTTTTAAATTTTTGATAGTTTACATTTTAACTTACAAGGAGAGCCAATACGATTTGTGTTTAGTCATTAATGATATTTGACTAAGTTATGCAGTGACATTCATTTTTGGCACATCTAGTTTCCATAAGAGTTATTTGGCCTCTCTCTCTTAGTCATGATTCATTAAAGTTGAAAGAACGTATGTTGTTTATATGTTAAAAGGTAAGAAACATTACAATATAACTTTACATTTTTGAACACTAGGCGAGGGTTATCTCGGTTAATTGCATAAACTCTGGGAGTTTCAGATTCAGCGGAACGCTATACACATGTACTTCTAAAACATGTGTATTTACAATCGACACACCTTCACACTTAAACTTCCGATTCTGATTGTATTTTTAAACTTTAACCAGGAATTACGAGTTGAATCAAACTTTTCTGGGTTTTATTTTCACATAATATTGCTTTGCAATGTTGTGCCACGTCCATGGAGAGCATCAAATTAAGAAATAATTTATGCAAGCTATACTTATTGTAGTTTTAACATGGGTAGGCATTATATTCGTGATTATTTTTGCCCGAGCGATAGTGGGGGCTAAAATAACACGAATATAATGCCTACCCATGTTAAAACTACAATAAAGTATAGTGTGCATCAATTATTTCGATTCTGATTAGGACAATTAAGGTAATTTCTATGTCTGATGTGTATAAGTGTAGAGGGTTTATGTAGGCTCTTCCATGAATCTCCCTTTTTTGGATTGTAAACAAGCAAACGACTGGCAATGTGAGTTTTCAGAGGGAGTAGTTTTGAACAGCCAGCATGACCGATTGTCGTATCTAGGTCAAATATGTCAATTTCGAAATGCAACACATTACAGTCATAATAAATGAATTAGTAACAACAGGTGCATCATTTTAGAGTTTGGAAGTGTTTTAAGTTAATGAAATATATTAAATGCATGCCTATTTGACAAAATTCATTATTCTGCAGTAGTCAATATACGCATGTGCAAACACATTTTATTGGATTTAGAGCATGGGTTTATTCACAAAGCGAAAGAATACGTCATATTAGAATACGTGGTAAATGTCTCCATTAACTGTACATTATATTGGGTCGCATTCCATTAATTCTTACATTAAAGTGTTAACAAATATCGGAAAAAAATTTGGGTTTTGGCATATAAAACAGAAAAAAGAAATACCAACCAAATGTTATGAAAGGATTTAGGACGTTATTCGAAATAATTAGAAATTAAAATCAAGGAGATCTTAGTTAAACAAACAAATATATTTCTAGTTTACTAACATAGTGAGAAGTAAAATTGAATATAAATTTCAAATAATTCGTTGATATAAGAAGAAAATACATAAGTAAATTAGATCAAGATTCTTAAGAATAACGAACTTTATCTGGGATGCAAGAATATCAATAATAGTACAAAGTCAAGAACCTCATTAAACAAATTATTTAGCACGCGTCATAGGTTGCCGGACAGATGTATGGCGAATTGCTATTACATCCAAGGTTATAACCATATTCACAGAAGTGTTGATAAGCTTCATCATCATGAATATTCAGTAATACATTAAGGCACAGAAGAATGTTCTTAATAACCAATCAAAAAGCTGAGATACGAAGATTAATATATACAAAATAATAATTAAAATTTAACAAATGTTAATCATCTTTTATTATAAAGATCAGAAAATGAAATTCAACTAAAATATTATTCTAACTAATTTAAGAATTAATCATCCGGATGCTTTTCTAAAACAAATAAATGTATTTTGCATATTATGAAGCAACGAGTATTTTGGCACCAAATTACATTATTTGCAGAGAGGCTCAGTTTTGAACGGGGGAAAATGATGTTAGGTATTCAACGGGACATATAAAAGAAAAATAATTAGGTTCCCGTCAACATCATTTTCCTGCCAGCAGAACTGAGTTCTTGTTATTTATTCTTTTAAAAAGGTAAGCTAGTTTTGTTTATTTAAAAATTAGATATACGTATTTAAGATTAAATAATAAGGTAAGAAATAATTCATTATTAATAAGAAAGAAAATATTTTATTATTATAATTCAATAAATATGATTTATCAATTTAATTCTTAATTTTGTAGCTAAAGAAATATTAAATATTTATAATTCAATTGTATTCGGATATAATATTATAGTAAATAATTTCATGTGGTTATTCACTCCACATAAAATAAATAGGATGATCATAATTAAGTCAAAAGTAGGTGTTTCATGCGTAATGCATTAATGCATATAGATACCATAGTTAATTATTGACATAGAATTCACGAGCTAATTTCAGCAATATACGACACAGAAATAATTGTACTTTATCAAAAGATCATATTATTTATTATTAATTTGTATAACTTGTGTATTGTAAATTATTTTGATCAAAAAGAAAAGAAAAGAAATTATAATTAAAACATCATTTTCCTGCCAGCAGAACTGAGTTCTTGTTATTTATTCTTTTAAAAAGGTCGTATAAGGCAGATCCCAACCTTGCACTACCGAGCATCCCCAGAGCATTCCAAAGGTATGCATCATCCTTAGTGGTAACTGTCAATGAACAGGCTGGAGAGTTGTTGAGACGGAGGACACTAAGTCCCGTCACAACAATATGGTGGACGCAGAAAAACGACCATGAGGAAAGTAACAACAGCGGATAAACTTAAGTTACCACATCAATATTTTACGAGGGCTAATAAAAATAAAGAATCAACCGATATTTTCTCTCCTGCTAATTTAACTAAATTTTTACCAAGTGTTCTAAGAACAGATGAACAAAATCTTCGCTTTGGAGAAACTATAAAAGAAATTGATTTCAATACAGAAATCGAGACAGAAAGTACAAAAATAGGGGGACAAACGTCAACTCCAAAAGAGTCCGATCTTTTCAAATTTCAATTGATTCAACAAACTCCGGAGGATCAAATTGTACGTGACAAATTTAAACAATCAGAACCTTCTGCTCCTCCAATATTAAATTCAGACGATATACCTAAATCAGCTGATATATTTAAGTCAGACGATGAAGAATTACTATCAGAAAAAAATTTAGAACTAGATATTTCCAAGGAGAATGTAATTGTACCAGATTTAAAGCCACCAATACAATCGCATCAACGCAGATTAAGTGACACTGATCATTTCTTGCCAGAACAATTTAATGACAATTCTTCTCATGTAAAATTTCAGAAATATTCGCAGTATCCAACCTTTCAAGTGAGAGAGCAAAAAAGTGCCGTAAAAAGACGGACAAGTGCAGAAAGAGTAAGTCAATTACCTAGTGACACATTTAATATTGATAAAAATAGTGATAAAAATAAGGATAATGTTAGAATAAATAAAACTAATCAATTAGAAAATAAATCAGTTCCATCAAATTTAAAAAGTCAATATTCATATCACTCTTATCCTAATACTATAAATATGGCTTCGGCACTAAAATTGGAAAAATTTGAAGGCGCTGCGTCAGGTCAAGCTGCATTAAATTGGCTGTCAGTTTTTCAACAGTGGTGTCAATTTTATGAACTATCGGATCAAAAGAAAGCAAGTTCTTTCCCTTTTCATTTAGAAAAGCATGCAAAGATTTGGTATGATACACTATCTGAAAAAGTCAAAATGAATTACACGGCCTTAATGGATGCTTTCAAAAAGCGATTTAAAAAAGCTTCCGACACAATGGACTTGTCAGTACTACAATGTACTCAAAAGAAAGATGAAAGTTCATCAGATTATTTAAGTCGATTATCAAAAATAGTAACTAACAATAATATTCCGGAGGCAGTATTTCTGGCAGTAGCAATGAATGGGTTAAACTCTGGTATAAAAGCATTAGTAATTACTAAAGAACCTAAAAATATTGAAGAATTAAGGCATGCAGCTCAATTAGCAGAGAACGCAACTTCTTCTAACACGAATGAGATAAAAACCTCATATGATAATGTATTATCAGAGATAAAATCACTAAAGGATGAAATTAAGTCAGTCAATGCAGTACAAGAATGTAAAACAGATGAGGATATTAACTCACTGGTAATGGCCACTTCCCCATATTCGCCACCAAATAACCAACAACAACCAGTAATTTATAGGGACAGACAACCTCAACGGGACTCGTATCCTAATCGACCTTTTTATAATCAAAATTGGCAAAACGGATCAAATCCTAATCGACCTTTTTATAATCAAAATTGGCAAAACGGATCAAGTCAGAGGTGGGGTCAAAATTTTGTACCCAGACAATTTGATCAAAATTTCGGTAACAGAGGTCGATATCAGGGCAATAGGGATCAATATCAGGACAGAAGGAATCCAAATCAAGATAGGAGAAATTTTGGAAATAATATTCCAAGGGGAAATTACAATGGAACTAATAACCAAAATCAAAAATGTTTCTACTGTCTAGGATATTGTCGTTCAAGATATAATTGCCCAGCAAAAGAGGCTCAATGTCACGAATGTGGAAAACGTGGCCATTTTTCAAAAGCATGTTTGAGCGCTAGGAAATCACAATTTTGATGTTGCGTGCCTGTCCGAGGCATCACTTCGGATAGGCATGAAACGAAATATGAAAATATGACGCTACAAGCGCCAATTCAATCTTGTTTGTTGGCTATCCGATTCGGTGATTACGCAAGCTTAGCACTCATTGATACTGGGTCTAGTATATCATGTATAAATCATTTAATGTTTCGACATTCAAAATTTTCAAATCAACCGCTTGAAAAATCTACAATCGCCAAAATAGAGGGGGCCGGGGGAGCCAAACATGTAGTTTCAGGACAGATCACTGTTGAGTTTCTAATAAACAAATTTTCATTTACACAAACATTTTTTGTAATTCCCGCCCTCAGACATAACATGATTTTAGGAACTGATTTTCTGGCTAAAAACCAAGCTTGCATTGACTGGGAAACAAATAGTTTATTTCTAAAAGATCGTACAATAAATATCAGTTTTACAGAACGACCACCAGGGTATGCGAGGGTCTCCGTGAAGACAATACTGAGTCCAAATTCAGTTCACAATGTACCAGTGAAATTATCACGAACTTATGATAATGAATTGGTTTTATTGGAACCTTCCCAAGAAATTTATGACTTAAATGTTTTTCCGGCGAAATGCTTGATACAAAATATACCGGGACAAGTTTACATACAAATACTAAATGTATCAAATAAAGACATTACTCTAGGAATAGATTTGGTTGTTGCCACTGTTTCTACTGTTGAAGAGGCATCTGTGTTTAGCCTCACAGAGAACAGTGATGAATTTGCAATAAGTTCAATACCAAACGAGTCTATCAACATCAAAAAAGAAAAGTCTGATGAAGAATACAAACCACTTCACATAGATTTTGATTTGTCTAAATCGGTTCTGACAAAAGAACAAAAAGAAATTTTTCAAAAATTTCTAACTGAACATCGAAGTGTTTTTGCAACTAGTTTAAACGAGCTGGGCAAGACAAATGTTTTTAAACACAAGATTGAACTTATGGATGACACTCCATTTCAATCGCGGCCATATAGAACTACCCCAGCAACCAAACAAGAGATAGACAGACAAGTGGCTGAAATGTTGGAACACGACATAATTGAACCTTCAAATTCCCCATATTCTAGCCCCGTTGTCCTCGTACGGAAAAAGAACAATGCTGGCTTTAGGTTTGCTTTAGATTATAGGAGGTTGAACCAAAAGACAGTAACCTCTCAATATCCGATCCCACGTTTAGAGGACATAATAGACACTGTCGCGTCCTCGAAAGCGGCCCTATTTTCGGTCGTAGACCTTTCTGCAGGATTTTGGCAGATAGGCCTAGAAAGGGAGTCCAGACCCAAAACAGCGTTTATTACTCATGATAATTTATATCAATTCAAACGCATGCCATTTGGTATAACAAATGCCAGTTTTTCATTCCAAATGGCTATGAATCAAATACTAAGAGGGTTAACGTGGAAACATTGTTTGGTATACATTGATGACATCATTGTATGGTCTGAAAATTTTGAACAACATATGAAACACTTAGGACAAGTATTTAATAGACTAAAAGATGCCAATATGACAATCAAACCAACTAAATGCGAATTTGCAAAATCAGAAGTGTTATATTTAGGCCACATTTTCTCCGATAAAGGCATTAAAGTGGATGATTCAAAAATCCAAGCTGTTAAAACATTTCCAATTCCAAATAACCAACATGATGTTAGAAGTTTTCTTGGTCTATGCAATTACTACAGAAAATTTGTTAAAAACTATTCAAAAATTGCTATGCCACTAAACCATTTGTTAAAGAAAAATATGAAATTTAAGTGGACCAGTAATTGTAATGATGCATTTGAAACTTTAAAACAGGCATTGATTACCGCCCCAATTCTGAAGTACCCTGATTTTGAAAAAGAATTTATATTGGCATGTGACGCATCAACACAAGCTATTGGGTATATTTTATCTCAAAAAGATGAAAACGGACGAGAAAGACCTATTGGGTACGGGGGTCGTAATCTTTCTCTGGCTGAACGTAATTATTCTGTTACAGAATTAGAACTGCTTGCACTGGTCAAAGGTATTTCATACTTTCATGTCTATTTGGCAAACAGTAAATTTATTGTATATACTGATCATAAAGCATTATGTTGGTTGAAAACTATCAAAAATAATTCCCCGAGGTTAATGAGATGGGCTTTACAAGTACAAGAATACAATTTTGAAGTATATCACAAAAGTGGAAGCAAAAATACCCACGCGGATGCATTGTCTAGGAGAAAATATGAATCGAACAATCAAGAAGATTGTACAAATGACATAACAATTAATTCTAAAAAAGAGAGTATTGACCTTTCAAACGATGCACCCATTCCTCCAGGAAAAATTTTTGAGATAACTCTAATTCATTCAGATAAAGATATCCAGGTATCTGAATTACCAACTATTAATAACATTGCAAACATAGACACCGTTGCGAAAAATATTGGAATAAAACAGAGACAATGTCCATATTTCAAATACATCTATGCGTACCTATTGGAAGGCACATTACCTGATAACTTAGATAAAAAGAAAAATATTCCTTATGAAAGCATGCAGTATGAAATGCTTAATGAAGTTTTATACCACGTTTTTCAACCCCGCGCAAAACAAAAAACAAAGAGGGGAGAAGTTTTATTACAAATTGCAGTACCGGAAGAATTACGAAATAGCATAATAATTGCATTTCACGATAATTCTTGCCACCTAGGTGTTATTAAGAGTTATGAAGCTATAAAAGCTAAGTACTATTGGCCTGGCATGTATCAACAAGTTTATAATTACGTGACATCGTGTAAAACATGCCAGGAAGTAAAATCTAGTCCACAGATGCGAGCGCCCTTACATCCTATGCCAGTGGTAAACGTTTTCGAACGTATTCATGTCGATATCCTTGAAGGATTATGCAAATCCCGTTCTGGGAATTCAGTTATCCTCTTGGTCACAGACAGTCTGAGTCACTGGCCGGAGTGCTTCCCCCTGAAAAATCAGGAGGCGAAACATATAGCAGACGTGCTATATAAAGAGATCTTCACAAGATATGGTTGCCCGTCATATTTAACGAGTGACCGTGGAGCAAATTTCTTATCGCGTATAGTGAGTTCACTGTGTGAAGTATTCAAGGTAGCTAGAAGTTATACTAGCTCCTATCACCCGCAAACCAACTCATCATGCGAAAGAGTAAATTCTACTATAGCCCAGTCCTTGAGAGCGTTATGCTCCAATGAACAGGACACGTGGGATGAAGTGTTGCCTAGTGTAATGATGGCATTTCGAATGACGCCAGTCACCCAATCCATAGGATATTCGCCTTATTATGTCCTATTTGGGAAAGAAATGACTTTACCTATCGATACTCAATTGATCCCCACACAAAAAATGGAAAAAGCACCCAAACAGTTCATAGATGAACTGATTAAAAAGGTCAAAATTATCCATGAAACGGCTAAAGAGAATATGAAAGAGGCGCAATTAAAATGTAAAATATATTATGATAAAAAGTCAAAGATTCCAAAATTTGTAGTTGGAGATCATGTTTATTTAAAAATAATGAAGATTCGGTCCGGTAAGAAAATGAAACTGGAACCGAAATGGATGGGCCCTTATTACATAGTACGGTGCGGATCAAATGATACGTACAAAATATGTGAACTGCAGTCACATAAATTGATGAAACCGTTAGTTCATGCTAATAGGTTAAAACCGTACAAAGATCCACGAGATTACAGACCACAGGCTGATAATCATTCGGATCTGCGTATTGATGATAAGACTGACGACAAACATGAATCAGACACACCAGTCTATTCAAAAGTTGCGTCAGATCAATCAGTACAGCAATCACAGACACGTGATACTAGTATAAATAAACAAAGAGATAACAAAATTCTGATAAGAAATCAGACAATACACCTGATGGTACTAAAAATAGTTACAACGATACAGCAACAAAGAACACGTGGTTTGAAGTGACTAAATTATTAAAATCCAAATTGATATCGGGTAGAAGACATTACTTGGTACAATGGTCAGACGGATCTACCCCCACTTGGGAACCAAATGGTAATGTTTCAGACGATTTTTAACAAATATATATTTCAACCGTGATTCAAAATCGTTTTAAGAAGAAACGACAATATTAAACATTGCACATGTATTCTATTCAATCTCATTCGTTGATGGAACTGTCTAAGAGGAAGACTTTCAGCGTAGTGACAAAATTACTTTCTGCCGAAAACGTTATGTTGCCTATAATTTTGAAGTTACGGTACCTATCTTCGATCCTTTTATATTGTAGGCAGTAGGCATGGCAAGGGTAATAGGAGTGATGTTACTACGTTTGTTAAGTGTACTTCTCAGTTCTGACCTTTTCAATGGGTGATGAAAAAGGTTAACTTTTGCAATATTAGGTCTGTTTTAGAAAAATATAACTCGAGACGTAATATAATGTGTCTCTTATAAAAGAGTATAATTCAAGACTAAATAATAAAGCAAGAACATATTTAACCTAGATCCCGAGTAGCACGATCTCTTAATTAATGTCCAAAAGAATTAAGTATGGAATTGAAAATTATATTAATAAAATTGAGAATGGAAACGAGGAAAATGTCATTGAGACAAAATCCCAATCAATGAGCAAAAATAAGAGCCCAAGGCCACATGCTCATAGTCTACTCGAGTGGACAAAATGATTAAATCACTCTAAATAAAAGATGTTTATACATTGTAGCAATTGCAGCATATCCTTTTCGTTTTTGTTGTAGTCGTTTAACTAAAAGAAAATATTTTAAAAGCGTATTCGACGAAGATATTTAAAAAAAAAAGTAAGCGATAAATACATAATACAATTTAGAGAGTGAAGTGCAAACTATATAAAGATATGACAGAGATTATAATAGAAAATAATTTGTCAGACAATTAAACATGCGTTGGTACTTTGTTGATAAGTACGTAATGTAAGATGGTCAGAGATATAAACATATGTTTTGATAAAGAATCAAGAGTGCAATACATTTTTTTGGCACGCGAGAGCAATCAAGAAACGTCATTCTTAACATTTGCCTTCAGAAACAGGTTGAGATTTCTGAACAATCTATCATATAGACAAATAGTGAGATTAACTTCAATAACAGATCAGATTATAATGATAACCTATATATTCTTAACACAGATTTTATTACAATTCTAACGCACACAAAGGTGAGTAGAGAAATAAACGAATTAAAAATAATAATAATAAAAAAAAAAACATCAATGAAGTAAAATAAAAAAAAAATAAATAAATAAATTAAAAAAAAATGTAAAAATTATATTAAACTGGAGGAATTCATACGATCAAGACCGATCTTATAAATAAATAGTAAAAAATTACTAAAAATAAAATCATTAGTATAAACTTTATAAAAAACATATTAACTTAAATTCACTGAGGTACAAATGACTAAGAGAGAGAGGGATGATTTTTGTTTTTATTACCTTAAATGTGGAGTACATAAAACACAGATCTCCATATGACTCATTGTCGCGAGTTGGAGTACATCCAGAGACAGATCTCCAATATTTCGCAGGTGGACTTCAGTTCCACAGAAGAGGATCGGCACCGTTTGATTGATAAAATTTATTATGATTAGCATGCATTTTATATTTTTATGAATGTGTATGTATTTATGTTTCATTTATTGCCAGAAAATTTAAATAGATAAAAATTACCTTACACAAAATAAATAGGATATTAATAGTGTCAAAACAAAAATGTTATAACAAAAATTGAAATCAGGAGATTTCAAACCTAACAAGGGGGTAATGTTATGAAAGGATTTAGGACGTTATTCGAAATAATTAGAAATTAAAATCAAGGAGATCTTAGTTAAACAAACAAATATATTTCTAGTTTACTAACATAGTGAGAAGTAAAATTGAATATAAATTTCAAATAATTCGTTGATATAAGAAGAAAATACATAAGTAAATTAGATCAAGATTCTTAAGAATAACGAACTTTATCTGGGATGCAAGAATATCAATAATAGTACAAAGTCAAGAACCTCATTAAACAAATTATTTAGCACGCGTCATAGGTTGCCGGACAGATGTATGGCGAATTGCTATTACATCCAAGGTTATAACCATATTCACAGAAGTGTTGATAAGCTTCATCATCATGAATATTCAGTAATACATTAAGGCACAGAAGAATGTTCTTAATAACCAATCAAAAAGCTGAGATACGAAGATTAATATATACAAAATAATAATTAAAATTTAACAAATGTTAATCATCTTTTATTATAAAGATCAGAAAATGAAATTCAACTAAAATATTATTCTAACTAATTTAAGAATTAATCATCCGGATGCTTTTCTAAAACAAATAAATGTATTTTGCATATTATGAAGCAACGAGTATTTTGGCACCAAATTACATTATTTGCAGAGAGGCTCAGTTTTGAACGGGGGAAAATGATGTTAGGTATTCAACGGGACATATAAAAGAAAAATAATTAGGTTCCCGTCAACATCATTTTCCTGCCAGCAGAACTGAGTTCTTGTTATTTATTCTTTTAAAAAGGTAAGCTAGTTTTGTTTATTTAAAAATTAGATATACGTATTTAAGATTAAATAATAAGGTAAGAAATAATTCATTATTAATAAGAAAGAAAATATTTTATTATTATAATTCAATAAATATGATTTATCAATTTAATTCTTAATTTTGTAGCTAAAGAAATATTAAATATTTATAATTCAATTGTATTCGGATATAATATTATAGTAAATAATTTCATGTGGTTATTCACTCCACATAAAATAAATAGGATGATCATAATTAAGTCAAAAGTAGGTGTTTCATGCGTAATGCATTAATGCATATAGATACCATAGTTAATTATTGACATAGAATTCACGAGCTAATTTCAGCAATATACGACACAGAAATAATTGTACTTTATCAAAAGATCATATTATTTATTATTAATTTGTATAACTTGTGTATTGTAAATTATTTTGATCAAAAAGAAAAGAAAAGAAATTATAATTAAAACATCATTTTCCTGCCAGCAGAACTGAGTTCTTGTTATTTATTCTTTTAAAAAGGTCGTATAAGGCAGATCCCAACCTTGCACTACCGAGCATCCCCAGAGCATTCCAAAGGTATGCATCATCCTTAGTGGTAACTGTCAATGAACAGGCTGGAGAGTTGTTGAGACGGAGGACACTAAGTCCCGTCACAACACAAATGCCAATATCGCATGAAATTATCATCTTTAGGTATGTGTTTTGTTTGCAGTAATCACGAAATGATTAAAGTAAAGAGATAACTTTTTTGACATAGAGCGAGTCGTTATGTACGAAACAAGTTTCATAAATTTATATTCATACCATTTCAATATTTTTTCGTTCTGATATGTTTGTAACTAGACATTAAATACCAATCAACTAATTTATTGAATAAGTAGTAAAAAACTAACATAGTTATAGAGTTGAGCACTAAAAAAAATCCTTCATTTTGATTGACAAAGTTCCAGTAATCTGTAACGAAATCGAAGAAAAAAAAACCCGCGACTGTCAAATTGTCTCCATTAGTGTGAACATAATGAGTTATAACACGTTAGAACAATTTGTATTCATTGCTAGACAATGTATGGTGGACGAACGGACGGGATTGACTTTGCCTTGACCGTATAAATACAAATTAATGTCTGTCATGGATGTTGAGGTTCATAAAATGATCTATTTAAAGATTCTTTTTTCTATACATTTAAGAAAAATTATACATCATAAATAAAAAAAAATGGATTCGTGATCATAACCCCTTAAGTTAACATATCATCTTATAAATAATTTAAAAAGACAAGATAATAGGCTATTTACATTAAAGTTTCAGATTACAAAAATGAACGCAAACTACGTTTAGCACTTTAAAAACATCGGACGGAAGTAAATTATAAGATAGAATAAACATACTTTGTCGTTTTTAAATCGTCCAAAACACGAATGAAATATTTGCCACTGTCACGGTAAAACAAACAACGATAATTCAACAACTGTTCATTTTTTTAAATCAAAACATTCACATTTTGAATTTATGCTTAACTTTTGTATATATATGTATATAACTGATGCAACTTAAACATCGGACGGATGTGAATTATATGATAGAATAAAACTACTTTGTCTAATTTTTAATGGTCCTGGAAGTGCATGAAATATTGCCATTGAACGTAAAGAATAGAATATAACTAAGCCCCGGGTAGGGTGATTAATGGTTATCCTTGTCCGTCTTACGTCCGCCCATCCGTCCAGGTAAGTCCGTTCGCCCATACATCCCTAAATTGGTTTCTGTTCTGTAACTTTATTCTGCCTCAACCAAATGTTATAAAAGTTATGCACATTGGTTAATACCGCAAAACAAAGGTCAAATTTGATTGATGATGGGGTCACTTTGCATGTATGCTCTTTTACAAATGGAAAAATTGCTAAAGTTTTCGTTTCTGTTCTCTAACGTTAGTTATTTTCTTGAACCAAATTTGATTAAACTTATATTCAATGCTTATTACCACAAACTCAGATCAAGTACACATTTTGGTAGTGTCACTTTGACAGACCTTGAGTTATGCCCTTTATCATGTTATATGCATGCGTCGTCATCATCTACATTGTATGTCCCATGGACATATTCCACATTTATTCAAAACAACTAATTTGTTGATTTACAGACAGCAGAAAATAGACAAACGTTATGTTATGTATGTATAAAAACAATGTACAGAGAGAATAAAAATTTTGTATTCAAAAAGGTAAACATTTACCAAAAATAATTTATCAAAAATAAATGTACAAGAAATTTATTGATATAAGCAATGTGAAAGCAATACAAAAAAATGGTAAAGGATTTTGATATTTAAAGTTTGCTTCGTTTACGAATAGATAGTTGAATATTCAAATCAAATTATAAAGAAAAAGAAAAATGAGATTATGTAGGGGCCAGCTGAAGACAACCTCCGGATGCGTTTTTATTTTTTTTCGATGTGTTGAAGACCCATTGGTGGCCATTGGTGGCCTTCTGCTGTTTTCTGCTCTTCGATCGGGGTGTTGTCTCTTTGGCACATTCCTCATTTCCCACTCTCAATTTTATTACACTATTGTAATTGGATACCTTCATTTCAGTAACATGGGAACGTGAGCCATGTATAATGAGAATCGGCGAACCAGTGACTTTGATATGTACCGTCCATGGTGTAAAGACTATTGACCAGAATCTGACACGCCAATGGTCAAAAGGGACCGAATCGATTGTATACAATGGACATTTGGATAAACCTTCAGAATATAAGGAGATATTAACCGCACATAACCAGTTTGGGCTATTGATAGAAAACCTCACCGAGTCCGACTTGACATCCAATTATCAATGCCGGTATAACTTCGATACGTCATCGAAAAAACTACAGATAAATGCAGAGAACTTCGAATGTAAGTACGTACATGTATTTGTTTTTAAATAAAACTCTTTCGGGGAAAATGTTTTATTCAGTTCATCGACAGTCTCTCGTAATCATACTGGATGGATGGGAAAAAAACTGAAAATACAATTTGATAATTACTGATTATGCATGTGCACTCCACTACTTCAATTGGTTGGTAATCAGAGTTAAACGCCACAGCAACACAAAAAGGCTATACAGCCGAGCACCATTTATGTTGGAAAAGGAACATGAGGTAAAAGAGGGATGGGGTTAGAACGGTAAAGCTGGACAATTGTTGACGGTCACAGGAAATAAACGGTAAATGAGGTAGACTATAGTGTGGGAAAACTAGACGCGGCACTGGGGACATTGGCCAAGTTAGGATCTTTTGACAATTTTGTGATGCAAACAATTTGAGATGATCCTAAAACATGCCATCATATATTTTAGTTCAGATGTAGGCAAATAATCACAAGTTATCTTTAAATCGAGCTATATATTTTACTTTTTATGGACATTTCTTATAGAGTAAACATTCGAATACAAATTTTAAAAATACGATCTTAGAAAAATTAACCGACACATTCGTTATTGGTTATATATTAAAATAATTTCATTATTTACAAAACCATTCTGAACTACATTTATTTAGACTTTATTTTTTATAAAAGTGTGTATTTAAATCTGCCCTCCCTCCCCTCTCATTGAATTGGTTAATTAATGGAAACAAAACATTCTAACAATGTCAACATGACCGTAAGGTCTGTAACGTTATAATTTTGTATTTCAAACGTTCCAGGTTAAAACACCTTTTTACTTCACTTAAACTGTTTTGGCTGATTGAAGTTTCAATGACTGAATATTTTGTGAATATGAAGCGTATCCTAAAGCTATAATCATTACATTATGAATAACTTTCATCATTTGTTGTTGTGCATTTAAAGTGAAATTTTATCTTTAAGAAGTATTCGCACAAGTAAAATTATCTATTAATAATATTTGTTGACTCTCTTTCATAGACAAACTTTAAAACAGCCTCTTATAAAACTGCATGTGCAGCTGTCGCATTTGATATCATTTTACATCTGTCTCCTAAGTACTGCAAATGCACCTGCCATGATATAATCCAATTTAAATGATTGCGAGCTGGTTATCATAAAAAATACGTTAACCGGGTCATGCACTTAAGGATTCGTACGCTCAAACCACAATGGCGATGCATATTTTAAGAGATGTTCATTGGTAAATATTATCTAATTACATATGAAGTAAATATTTCTCTTTTTGTCTGTTCGGTAATATTGGGATGCATCTATTATATCGCAGCCTAAACATCCGCGAGGCAGGAAAAATGACATCGAAGTGCTCAATCAAGATGATATTAAAGTGTAGAATCACTATTTTAAAGACACAAGTTCAAAGTAATTAAGCTTTGTTCTGTCTCTATTAATGGTCTTTGTTTTATCATGCTGGAAAAGGTTAAAATTGAATACACAAAAATCAAAAAAATGTAATAAGTCTTAAAATACTGTATTGGCCTTTCCTCTGTGCATTTTTTTCACACTATTACAATTTATATGCAGAGTATTATTTTTGATAGATCAACATACAAACGGAAAGCTAAAAAAAACAATTCTGAACATAATTATATAAAAAGATTTTGTGGTAGGAACATTTTGTTGCGAAAGGCCAAGAGATTTGAGGACTTTCTCCAACCTGGGCCTTTGCTGTCAGAAAATATTCACGTACCTGGCTGAAAAATGATGTAACGCATCAATCAAGCCCCTTCGTCGATATCAAAAACTGCTTCCGGAAGGTTTTACGAGTTGGTCATCAATCCTGTTATTTATAGTTTCAAATATTACTAAATTTTAACTTGAACGTAAGAAATATATTCCGGTGTATAGCCACCGATATTAGACTTTGACACGTCAAGAAACATGATTTCAGCAACTTGCTTTCCGTAACTGCGAGTATAATTTTGTGTCTAAATGACGTAGTTGTATAAAACTATACATATAGGTCTCGTTACAGCTTCAACAATTATCAAAACGTGAATCAATTCCGACCTATCCAACGACAACCAATGACTCTGGACTGACACATAAAGACTGTGGCGGGGTTAATAATTACTATCCATATAGTTGATTTAGTTCCTATTATATTAATTTTATTCTACGGTATTTTGATAATTTTGTTGTAACTGTACACTATTTCAGATTTAAAAAAAAAGTGGTGGTTGGGGGGGGGGGGGTAGTAAAAAAAAAATTGACCTGCCATATGGTCATGTGCTGGTCTTCAATCAGCGGCTGTTCTTTGTTGTGGTTTTCTTCAATTCACTGTAGGGAATTTTGTAGATTTTTGATAACCTCTATAAAATATGTTCACAACTTTTCTGTCAAGTAAAAGAGAATAACAGATGTTTAATCATTGTTGAAGACTGTGTATAAATATTGACCTCTAAAAGTCTTTCTGTTTCAATGAGTTGCAATCTTGTTTTTTTCATTTGGCGTATACCCAACATGTTCATCATGTTCATGTATACATTGTACACCCTACATGTTTATCTTAATTGTACAATTACAGTAGTTGTTTACTTTATAAATGTGCATCGGTGTGTTGACAAATGTACATGTACAATACAAACGATTTCAATATCGTAAGGCTACAATTAATTTGGAAAAACACGAAAACAGTCTAATTTCTCATTTTATTTCTTTTTCCATAATTATGTAAAAGAAAGTTCGACCTTTTTTTTAGCTTTGATTTCAACTTCAAAATTTCCATCTGCTGTAGGCATGTGTCTTTTTTAACTCGAGGTCACATTCACATATAATTTCCTTTACACAATACTTTCATTTCATTGCAGATCCTCCCACTTTTGAAACAACAAACATTGTGTACAACACTTCTAGCAGTGGAAAAATATATATTTCTCTTCATTTTGTCAAAGTTTTTCCATTGCCAAATTGTTCTCTAGCTTTAGAGGTAAGTATGTCAAATTTACATGATTGCATACCATGTACATAATTGTTGTTTTTTTTTTTTTTGCTCAATAACAAACTTTTAATTATGTCATGGTAAATATTATGAAGGTAACCTACCAATAATTTCTACAGAAATGAACGTTAGCCTTGCTTATAAAAACATTTGCATATAGTTACGTGAATGAGACACTGCAAAATGATTAATTAGGGGTATACGTGAAAAAGTTTGTAAAAGATGATGTCCAAAGATCTCAATCATGAAGTATATATTACTGAGCAGGTATTTTTAAAAGAAAATGAAAAATGTACATACAATTGGTTAATAAAATTTTGGTAAGAGTGTATCTATTGTACTTGTTTGTTGATATAACCCATTGTCACCAACATGGCTAGTCGAAGTAAAAATTGCATCCGCACAACTTTCATCCGCACACTGATTTAATGATTAACTAATATGTGCAATCTTTTTTTTTCAAATGTAGTGTTGAGTATCTGTAGCATATGTTTGTTTTATTGATACCTGATCAAAACACAGAATACGGGACGCACCTAACTCTCAGGTTGCTTGGCCGACCTCCCCGGAACATTCCCGTTCAACTGCGTTCAAACAATAATAGGACATTCCAGATAATTGAGGATAGTAATACGACTTTTTCACTTTTCGTATCTTATCGCTGTCTGTTCTCAAACAGGGCCATCATTGGCACTGTGGAAACGTCGCATTACACTATAACTTATGGTGACCCCTATTAAAGGAGGGAGATTCAGAAGATACATACATTTGTACATACTACAACCAGAAATAACATGCGGCGTATATTATTTGTATCGCAATCGGATTCTACCCGCAACTTTTTAGTTATTGGTAATATTAATTAAGTGCAGAACAAAGGGGCCTAAATGATGTAATTTTCATTCGACACCATTGTCCTATATTAGTTATATAAAGTTGAATTCTCTTATAAGATAGTTTTTACGTCATGCCGGTCATAAAATTGGGCCTCGTTATTTTAGTAGAATACATGTGAAAATTATATACATGATAGCCTGTTTGTAATTGGGGTTTAAGATGCCGCCAAGGTTATATGTGTCTATTGAAAATATGCAGGTGTCTTTTTTATTTGTATTTCAGAATAAATATTACCAATGCAAAAATTCCTCCATAGTAAAGCATAGCGTTTATTACGAGGTCTTCTTGAACTGTGAAGTCAACAACTGCAACACCAAACCGCAGATACGATGCCATTTGATTGAAGAATATCCGATACCATGGACGACGTTTCAAGTTTGTAAAGGTATACTTTTCGATGAACTAATTCATTGGAAAATATAGTTGTTTCGGAGTTTGTACGATTACGATTGTAAGATTTATTTTATTACTTTAGTTACTGTTACTTGATAGAGTTTTATAAAGTCCTACCACAAAGTAGGAAATCTGTCGAAAAATTATTCTTCGAAGTCTTAAGTCGGTAACTTACGAATAGTTTATTTAACAAAGTTATACGTTCTGCCTGATCTAATTATGAGAGAGAATTCTTTCTTATATTTCTGATGTAAGCAATATTGTCCCTACTCAAATGTATGCTCCTAACAACTATATTGACCAGTGACTATTATTGTTTTGCTGTTTTTGTCAAGCCATTCAATTGCAACAAATTGTCATTGAAATACATTTGATTTGAATAGGATTGATGTACCTTAAATATGAAGATTTTTTTACAATGAATGAGGGTTATCTCACTTAACACTTCAAGTCAAACTACATACATATATATATATAAATAATATAATGATACATAGTTGCTTCAAAATTCAAAAATACTGTCCAATGTCAGTATATCTTGACAAAATATTAAAACTACACGTTCTGAAAATTAAATGCGTTCATACGTCCAAAGAGCTTTTCTGGATATATTGTCAACAGGAACGCTGAAAGCCAAATATTTGAAAGACAAGGATGTATATATAAGAACCGGAAAAGTTGAAGAGTTATTAAACCAAATATTACATAGAAATAGCCAAATTATTTCTAAGGTAAACTTTGCAACTTTGAAAATGCATTCTAAAGAGCCATACACGTTGATAAAAAAATCCATTTTGTGTTGGTAAATGTTGAAGTTTGTAATTTGAAAGCACTGTTCTTCTTTATAGAACAGAACAGGCCAGGAAAGACGGATGATTTCGAACTTGGCTATGGAAAAATGTAATCTTTAGAGGGGTTTTGTTAATATCTTTTCAATTGAGATTCTAGAAGTGTACTTATCATCACATTTGTGGCATTTGGAGTATTATATATTGGACCTCATTTTGGAGTGTATTGCGCATTTCTCTTCAATCGAGATATACAATGAGTGTTCCTTTTGGTGGTATCAATGACAGTTGGGGAGTTACTGTGGATCCCATTGCGAAGAAACAAATACGGATCTTTTATGCATAGACATTCATGAACTTATCATTGTGAAGAGGCAAAAAAAACCTCGGGTTTCGTTATCGTAGATTTAACATGGAGTGGATACTTGATGATAATGTAAATGTGAGTAATTCAGAACACTTGACATAAATGATACCTGCAATGGAATTTTGAATGTTTAATCTTTTGCAAATATTATGAAAAGTTTTATTTGGACTATTTTAGTCATGATGTTGACACACGCAGCTTCATTTTCCACCTGTTAGGTTTTGAGGTTATCGCTACAGTCTGTTTTGTTATGAAAACCAAATATTATCAGTATTATTTTAGTCAACCAAAAATCCTTTGTAAATTAAAGGACAATATTCCTGATTAATACTTGATTTTGCACTCAATTTCCCCATTTATCATTTTCCTCAAGAAAGCTTATGATTTCAGAGTGATAATATTTTTCATGATTCAATATTCTGATCGTTATCAAATGACACAAGTCTTTTTTTTTTTATAAATTACAGTTACAAGATCAACAGATAATACGAAATTTTTAAACACTTTATGAACTGTGAGGAATGAAACAAAAATGAAAAATGACAAAAATACAAACAACAGTCTGCAGATCATTACTTAAAAAAACCTCAAGATCAATCTTAAACGAATCCTACACAAACCGTGGGGGGTCTCTCGTGCTGGCGTCAGCAAATGAATATGTACATTCACCGACATCTGGTGCATCTTGATTGAATTGAGATGATGGTTTCCTCTCAACCAAACAACGGCTTGTAACTTTGATAACATATTGTATCCAATCAGTGATACCAGAAGGGTCATTTGTCGGATTCTATGTGAAAAAACATGCACTTATTCGAAGACGGATGTTTTTGCTTGTATTTCTTCTGGACCAAATTAACATATTGCCTTTGATTATGATGTTGTATCATTAAGAAGAAACCATTTAACTTCAAGAGGGGGTATGATTTTTATTCTTATTTTATTGAATTTTCAAAGCTATCAATCATATTATTTTGTTGAAAATTTAACACTATAAGGTATGGGGAAAATCTGGATTCAGAATATGTTTTTTGTCCTCTGCTTGAACAGAATATTTTTTAAATTTTTATTAATTTGGGAATCAGAATATTTTTTTGGGAAAAAAAATGACCCCACCTTAATGTTAAATGGTCGTTCCCTTAATAATTATATCTTGTGGCAAATTCAGTTTCCATCCGAAAAAAATAGTAGTTGACTGAGATGATTTAATTCAGTGTGAATATATTGAATGAAGATTCAGTAATAGATAGCAACACTCCCACGAAACTATTTTAAAAGTATTCTACCAATACATGCAAATGATAAGCATATGTCAATGCTTGCTAAGACATTAGCAAACCTAATTTCTTGTTTTTGTCTGCATATGTTTTCCAGAAAATAATCACATGTTGCAGACCATATTGATATCAAGTATAATTCCAACAGGCTGCCTATTTGTTATTATTGCTATAGTGATAGTGATTTGCTATAAAAGAAAATCAAAGTCTGCGAGAGGTACCTTATTGTTAACTTTATATTAATTATTGTAAGATTTTAATCAATATTTAACAGTTGGCATAGAAAAATACAAATTACAGTAATTAGTCGGTCAAGTCACGGGTAATGAATATAGCGACTGTTCCTGGTAATTTGTATCAATTGTTTAAGATAACGAAAACACGCCGTAAGTGAGGTGAGACTCAGACAAATCTACGGGTAACAAATACAAGATGTGACCGTTAATATAACGTGAAACTTTGTAGTTTCTATATCATTTGTTCTTACTCATAAGTCTGTATCAGCAGTTCACTTGTATGTATAAGAAATGAGCGGTACGAAATAATTGTGATATGTAACCATAAGTTAATCAAACGTACTAAGTCTTCTACCATCAACACTTTATAACAGTAAAATACTTACAAAACATACATGCAAACAATACAATTAATTATTTTAATTGTTTACTAGAGTATGAGTTGCAAGCAACCCTAAAAGTCTGGGTTACTGAGTAATAGAACATCATCAATCTATATGAAAATGCAATTGAAGAACTTACAATATGATCTGTTTTTGAGAATTTTTGTAGAAATTCTGCTTCATGTTAGTGCAAACATGTCGACCATTAGTGCCTTATAGAACAAATACTTTGTGTTTATATTAATTCGCCAAACTCACGCTTTACCAGGTTTTTCTGATAATCCTCAACTGAATTTATGCAAAACGGGTTGCATAGAGAGATTTTCAAGTTAGGAATGTTTTGAAAACAAACAAAAGATTTTGTTTTAATGTTGACTGTAAATTATTATATCATAATCTTCAACATTCAGTTTTAATAGTGATTATAACCGAAAACATTATGCAAGACAGCAACACATTGATGTATCAATATAATGTAGGAAGATAATAATTTTTATTAGTTGACTATAATTGCAGCTGATGTAGCTGAAGATACAATGCTTCCAACTAAAACAGGAGAAGCTAAGCAGTCATAATATATTAGAAACGGTGTGTTTAGTTGTATATGCAGGTAATCAATACGGTTAATGTCTCTTTTTTCAAAGTATATGTTTTTACCATCTGCAATACGCATTAATACTATCCAAACATACAATTTGATCTTAAAAGGTTTGTTTTTGATATATTTAAGAAATGGGCAAATGATACAAAATGATCATTTAAACTCATAAGTCGAAAATAGATCGACAACGCCATGGCTAAATATAATAATGCACACAGGCAGTCTTTGCTCTCCTCCGTTATCTTTCAATGCAATATGCCGAGATACAGTCAGATAGGTTGGTTATGTTGAGTAAGGTCATTTTTTTTGGAAATATCTAAGAGACCAAATGACAAACAATTAAGAGTGCCCAACCGTTTGTTGCGTTTTCACAATCAGCGTTTATTAAATCTTCTTATTTTGAAAACTTAAAGCCATGATATGAATGATTTCACGTAGTAAGTAATTTTGTCGCACTTCGTGATGTTAATTTACACTCTTTGCAATGAATACACAGGAACCGATTTGTTCAGTCCCCTGACGTCACGGTGTTGTTACGACATTGTTGATTAAGTTGTATCAAAGCGAATTGTCAGTGCTTAGGAAAATTAATGTAGTTGTTTGCATTTGAAAATTCCATGAACTAATCATTGACATAAATTTTGTAACTTTTTTATAACGTTATATTTGCAGTCGAATGAAGACTAGAACTTGCTCTCTGGATCAAAATTTATCATTAGCTATCAAACTAAAAGAAAGATTTTAAATGGGGAAAATGACAGCTTAGAGATTCGTAGATACCAATGGTGGCTGTTCTGTTTTGAGACAATGTATGGAAATACACATTGATTATTTTTTTTATGATTTATTACTTATCTATACCATCGTATGTGTTCACTATGCTTTTTTGTCTTTTTGTCTAGTCATGGTACACAATACTTTGTTTATTACTACTTCCCCCCTTAAATTTCCACAAACCTCACAGGTTTCACTTTGCAGAAACAAAAAAAACTGGAGATTCAAATACTCTAACATCATGAACATTTTCAATCACCCAAATAATTTAGTCTTTCCATGGATATGCTTAGTAGTTTTTTTTTTAAATTTCATTACAAATGGTCTTTCCTTTTTGTTAAAATTCATATACGTATGTCATATTCTCAACCATATTTAGGATCATCTAACTATGCAAACATTACAAAGAAGTAAAACAATGTTTCTTAATCATGTTAATGTCCAGTCATACCTTTTTATGACTAGAACTCGGAAATGCACAACCAAACTACCATGGATATGCTTAGTAGTTTTTTTTTTTTAAATTTCATTACAAATGGTCTTTCCTTTTTGTTAAAATTCATATACGTATGTCATATTCTCAACCATATTTAGGATCATCTAACTATGCAAACATTACAAAGAAGTAAAACAATGTTTCTTTATCATGTTAATGTCCAGTCATACCTTTTTATGACTAGAACTCGGAAATGCACAACTAAACTACAAAGATGGTTAAGTCTAATGACACATTTATTTTTTGTTTCTTTTTGTTTGTATTATAAGTCAAAGTTATTCTGTTCTTACACATTTAGAATAAACACAATGATGTTATCATCTTATCACGTAATCATAATACAAGAGTGTATTGTGTGTCAAAATATGAGATTAACGTCTGAACATTTTTTTATTATTCGATGATTCAAATTCTTTATTGTTATTTTAGTGTTTCACATGTTTCTATAATAATATTTAAACAGCATTTTAACAGATTTAAAAGCACATACAAGCAATTGATTTTGCATAAATATTTGAATCTTGAAGCCTACTATACATGCTATTGTGAAGTTCAATTTTACCCTTAAATCTATTAAAATCAGTTATCTATTAGTTATAACCTAAATATACTTCTACTTTGTGTACATTATTTTTTTGTTAATTTTTAATGTTATTTGGCATATTTGGATCGATTTTAGTCGAAATTTTATATTATTTTTTACTCTGAATTCATGTTTTACGTTCAAGGAATATACTATTCTATGTGCAATTATAATTATAATGTTACAGGTATTACAATATAATTATCTGTAATAATCGTTCTACTAAAGCATTATTAGGTATGTGTTCTTTTGAATTCGGGGTTCAAATTGTGTAAACCAAATAACATCGACATTTCATCTAAACCAATTTGTTTATTCATTTCATTTAAACGCTGAAGGTTTGACCTTTTAGATAGGGACTGTTCAGGTTTAGTATCAAATCTAAAGATTGTTTCAATTACCTGATATACTTAACCTCAGTACATATTTGTTGGGAACAATTATTTATGATTTTGACATTAAAAATAAGGTAGTTTGATATCTTCCTTAACGCAACAAATGAACAGATAACGAAAGAAACCATTCTTTTTTTTAATTTTGTATAACAATTGTACATATGTATTTTCAATTCGTCGAATCGGTTTGAAATTCTGTTCTCATTCCCTAACAAATTAAAGAAGACAATACAATCCTTCATACTGAGGATTTTGTTTGAAAGTTTTTTGTCATATCTAGGGGACAACAAATGAACGCAACTAGTTAATCATTTTTTTTTTGCCAAAAAGAAATAAAAAAAGAAACACCCTTGGTGAGAACGGTGTTTGGTAATTATGATGAATTTTATTATGCTACCTTTTTTGTCACGTACGTCTGCGGCTCAAACGTATCTCTCTTTAATATTTCGGAAAGATAATTCCCTCCGAGATAAATCGAGATTAACGAAACGCCGATGCATTGTCTACTACATTAAATTGACATTTTCTAGTAACAAGTTACAATCTAACGTCGGAATTCGATTTGATTTCCTCCTGAATATTCCATGAAGATGGGCATTTTGATTAAAAGAAAAGATGGCGTTCCATCTAAGACATATTAAACTTCAAAGAATAGGCGAGGGATCAAAATAGTTTCGTTGACACAAGATCTTCCCAGAACATGTATGTCGAACTTAACGTTTCGTTTCTTTTTTGTGTTTTGGGTATTTTATACATGTGCATCTATATATAACTTTGGTATATATATTTTAAAAAAGTAAATTCGCTTAAAAGTAGCTTGAATATTAAAACGGTTGCATAATACACTGTTATAAAGCATGTTTCTGTTTATTTACTATTTGATAAAATGTATCTGTTTTTAGCTCACCTGGCCCAATGGTCCAAGTGAGCTTTTCTCATCACTTGGCGTTCGTCGTCCGTCGTCGTCCGTCGTTTGTTAACTTTTACAAAAATCTTCTCCTCTGAAACTACTGGGCTAAATTTAACCAAAATTGGCCACAATCATCATTGGGGTATCTAGTTTAAAAAATGTGTCTGATGACCCGGCCAACCAACCAAGATGGCCGCCATGGCTAAAAATAGAACAAGGGGTAATATGCAGATTTTGGCTTTTATCTCTGAAACTAAAGCATTTAGAGCAAATCTGACATGATAATAATGTTTATCAGGTCAGGATCTATCTGCTCTAAAATTTTCAGAAAAATCGGACAATCTGTTGTTGGGTTGCTGCCCCTGAATTGGTAATTTTAAGGAAATTTGCAGTTTTTTGTTATTATCTTGAATATTATTATAGATATAGATAAACTGAAAGCAGCAATAATATTCAGCAAAGTAAGATCTACAAATAAATCAACATGACCAAAATGGTCAATTGACCCCTGAAGGAGTTATTGCCCTTTAAAGTCAATTTTTAACAATTTTTCGTATTTTCTTTTAATCTTTTACAAATGTCTTCTCCTCTGAAACAACTGAGACAAATTTAACCAAACTTTGCCACAATCATCATTAGGATCTCTTGTTGAAAAAATGTGTCTGATGACCCTGCCTGCCAACCAACATGGCAGACATGGCTAACAAAAATACATAGGGGTAAAATGCAGATTTTGGCTTATATCTCTGACACTAAAGCAAAAGTATAACGGTTGCATTATTTCATGAATGAATTGTAAATAAAAATATCAGGTGAGTGACACAGGCTCCTTGGAGCCTCTAGTTTTATATACACAATACAAAGGCAGCTTCTTGATTGAATATTGCATGTATTAAAACCCAACCATTTTTTCTTTATTATATATTTTTGTAAATGCTGAGACGTTAAGATTGTTTTATACATTTTGTGCATTCGAGACAATTTTGCAATTTTACATATTATGTGTTCAGATATTTAACATGTTAAACAAGTAAAATGTAATGTCAGTGTTGTTGTGTCTGGTCCTCTTTGTAGTAGAACATTCAATTGAAATAGTGATACATTTTTGTTTTTTTAGAATACAATTATAAGTCTACCAGATCTATCTAAATATCAACAATATGCAAAATATATTAAAAGTTAAGTATTTTATGGCAGTGTAACTGTTTAAGATGCATGTTTGCATATTAATCAATTTTGTACGCCCGAGATTCGGCTTGGATTCAGGTAAAACAAATTATTTCAGTCTATTCCTCAAAAACTATATCGCTTGTCTGATAAGTGGGATGAATTTGGATTTGCAGTAATGGCTGCATCTTCCAGCATGTGTTACATATTTTGGCTTCTTTACAAAATTTGATTGTAAGATTGAATCTAAAGCTGCGATGAAATATGGTTTTAAATTGCCTATAGATATCTTCTCCCCAATTTCATATAAACATTAGAAGATGAATCGGTATGATTGCCAATTGGACAGCTATGCACTACAATTCAAGTAATGTGTTTGTATGCGATAATAGACAACCGTACGGTCTTCAACAATGAGAAAAAACCATACCGTACAGTCGGCAACCCTGTTTGAATTAGGATACAATAAGAAGGGCAGTTGAAGAGAGTTTTTCAATAAATCTCTTGATAGGCCGAAAGTATTGGATTTTATGAATGATTGTTTTCTTATTTGATTATGTTATATTACAATTTGATTATAATATAGATCCTGCTTCCGAATACTTTGCAAACAAGGCAGGTTTTATTTTGCCTTGACTTCTTCTTTATTGAATATTGATCAGTATAAGGTTTTCGTGATTCAGTGTTTTTCTAAGATTTTAAGGCAAAGTTTCAAAGGCGAATGCATTTAGGAATATATACATGTTTCCCTATTCTTAAAAAACTACGTCCTCCAAATGTAAGAAATATGTTGCTTATAAAAAAATTCGACTGTACTTTATTTTGTCACTGTTACATTATTCTTTCTTAATTATACTGTAAATTCGTCCGATTTTGTATGATCTTCGTCAAAAACCTTCAATGTTACAGTCTTTTGATAACGAAGAGTGGTGTTAATATACCATTCTATAGAAAGACGTGTGTCTTAGAACTCACTGATATATAGGGTCTAAGTAAGAAAAGAAATGTAATTTTGGAAAATTCATCATAACCTAGAATAGTAAGTACGAAACACAATGGATAACGTTATTCGCAAAAAGATACGATACACTCTCTTGGCTAACGGTTTCTTTCACATATATCTACGCTTATGCATTATATCGCAGACAAATGTAAAAGAGGGGCGAAAGATGCACAAGGCTTACTTTTTGCAATATGACTGTTCAAGAGTTTTGTTAGAATCGGAGTAGTTATCGAGAAATGTTGTAGAGGCAAAACTTTTGTTCAATGCCTATCATAAAACATTGAAGCTAACGTTAGGTTGGGAATGTTTTGCTTATAAAACACAATTGTCATTCTGAACCAGGTACTCGGCTAATCATGGCGATATTTGATTCTTCTTCTTGTGTTGTGTGCTGACAATACTTCAAATATTTCCCTACAAAATAGACCGATAACAATACATATAATAGATGAAAAACGGTATCTATCATACGCCCCCTTCCCTTATTTGAAAAATAACACATAAGAAAAACACTAAAGGCACTTAAAATTTTGGCTTATCTAAACTTTTAAAGGTTCTTTACACAATTTAGAGATAAGATACGGTAACACTATTCATGGTATTTAAAACAAAATGTAATCTAAAGCAAGCTAGTATTCATGATTTGAGAGAGAATACATGATATCTATGTTCTAATATATAAAATATTATCGAAAGTTGATGCATGTATATATCAATCTATCCATTAAGTCCTACACTTCATAAGACAAGCAAAGAACTATGAAGCGATCATATTCCTGGCTAATATGGGTATTAAAAAGTTTTGCTTTTCCAGAACTTACATTTTTGGCAATAGCAGTAGATTAAAGTTGTTGCAATCAAAATAATTGATAAACATACTACAGCCGACAGCAATAAGGGTTTCCAAATAAGCCCAGTTAGTGCTGCTGAAATAAAAATAAACAAACGTCACACAGCATAATCATTATTTTAGTGTTTAAAGTAACATGAGTCAGAATTAATTATCCTTTTATTGAAGGTATGCTCTAAAAAAAACTCTTACACATACTTGGATATCGTTATTGAGAAATTTATTATTAAAAATCTCAACACTAATTTGGGGGATCAACATGGAAGAAGTTTTAATAAATATATGTATAAATTTTACAAACTTATAGATAAGGCAAATTGCATACTGATAACTGTCTCTTGTCTCCGTTTATTCACCTGCTGTTGCTGTATTTAGTTACATTAACTGGCTTTTTAAATACAAAAATGTAGATATTCAAGGTAATACGGAAAATCGTATAACTTTTTGTGAGTGTTCCTGGATATTGATTGACGTTTCTTTAACGTCCAACTGTAATTAAAAGGTATTTTAGTTTTCGTGACTCTAGCAAAAACCCAAATCCTCTTTTAAAATACGAGATCAAGTTGTAAATGTATTTGCAGATCACGACACATTAAAGCCTCTTAACTCAAAAAGCTAGCTCAACACATAAAGAATAGGCATAACAACTTGCTTTTAAAGAAAATAACTACTACAAATAAATGGTCCAATAGTTTTGGACAAACTGGGCCAAATGTAGATCTTGTCATTTTGATCATTTTTGTCCCAGTTAGAATTCTCTATTTAAAATGGTTTTCTAGATTTTTGTCGAGTACTAGTACTTGCATTTTCCATTCGGTTTTGTTTACTAATAGCCACCATATTGGTTAGAAAGCGGGACTATAGGACCAAATTTTGAACTATATACTCCAAAAAAGATTTCATGTGGCGGAATTCTGTTCTAATTGGCCATGTGGATTTAGTGGATAATATTGTCGTAACGGTTAACGGACGACTGACGTAAAGTAATTGTAATATTTTCATTCTGGTTCTTTGACTGGTGAACAAAATTGAATTACAGGTCAAAATCACTACAAATGGATGCGTTTGTCAAACGCAGTATTATGATATTTACTTTTTAAAAATATATGAACGGACTGACAATAAACCAAAAGTGTGTGTTGCTACAAATTTGATCAACATTTACTTTAATTACAGGTTTGTTATTGTCCATGGTACATGTAATCAAAGTATCAATTGCTAAGCTGTTCTTAAACCGCTTTTTAAATTGAAATTCTTCACTGTTTCCCTTACAATTCGAATATTAAAAACTTTAACAAAATATCATACTTAAAGATCGTTATTTTATCCATTTGTTCATTTCGTTATTTTAATAACGTGTGTGAAAAATCCAGTACGAATTCTTATGACGGTGAATTAAAACGTTCTAAATTTTATCATATAAAAAGAACAATAGATGATTTATTTCATAGATTACTATAATAAAATGTAACATACAGTATCAACATGTTTATTTTAGTAAAGTCGAGGAGCATTCTTTAACATGTAAAATAAATTAATAATTAAAACACTTTATTAATTTTATGCGTCCAAATCGCGTTCCTAAATTTACCTTTTAAATATTTGAAAGCCAATGATGCTTTATTGTGAATTATTTATACATCTATGGATTGTTGGTTGCTTAACGTCCATGGCGATTATTTTATGCATGTTCAGGAGGAGAACTAATTAACAATAAATGCAAAAGATAGGTCCCATAATAGGGGCCGTCCGGGATGAAGGTCGGGAAAATTTGGATTACCCCTGGAAAATAGGCATATTGGATTGGGACGGCAATCTTGCCTTGCAACCAATTTTCAAAATATGTTTGAAAAATAAAATTGGGTTATCATTCTGATTTAGGGGCATTCATAAATGTAAGCAGTCGATAAATGACTTTATTATCCTTTAAGCAAATTTCTTATATTATCAATTTATTTCATTGGATACGCTGCATTTGTTAATTTTCACTAACCTTTCGTAGGCCCCGCCCATCCAAAGCAACATGTGATAATATTAGCAACGGGTATTAATGCTTAAAATTGTCACTCGCTTAACCCGAAATTTGCCGATGCGGAACAATTAATACCCACTCCGGCCGATGTTTACCGATTCTTATTTCTACATCATTTCCGTCGTTTGTTGTTTTAATTAGTAAACTATCTTAATTTATGAATTTATTTTTTTACGATTGTGCTTCGAATAACATAATGCATACTTGAATCATAAGACATTCAGTATAATAAAAAAAACTTACGGCCCTTGAATGACGGTGTAAGGGTGATGAACACACTCGGTGAAAAATTACCACCCGTGACTTCGTCTTGGGTGATAATTTTTTCCCTCGTGTGTTAATCTACCCTAACACCTTCATCCAAGGGCAGTTTAAATTATATTATTCATTGTGGCTTATTTTTAGATTGTGTGTTACCAATCATTTTGCTGTTTCAGTTTGAACATAACGATTTTCGATATATAAGTCAACATTTTAAATGATTATATCTTGTTTGAGAAGTCTAATTATGATTTCGTTCTTTATAGGTATTGTAGAAATGATTTGCCAAACATTTAACTATTGACAGTTTTCCCTATAAGCTTATAAAAAAAATGCAAAAAGGGTAACAGTTGTTATTCAATATTTGAGAAAATACAATGCCGATTCAGTACATATTCTATGATGATAACCAAAAACAAAAATTAAAATTGGTTGAGATATCGTTATTTGCAGCAAATGACTCATATAAAGATTATACTGACGATGTCTTACATGTTGTTATGATTTATATTTACAGTTTCG